GGCCAACTACTTTAATATATGTACCCATTTCCTGTATTCATACAATTGAAAAATGGAATTTTTTCCCCATGTGTGTTTCCTCCCTCACTTGGCTGCTTCCATAAGGTCCCTGGGCCGCTAGGACTCTGTTGAAAGGCCTCAATAAGCTTCGTACTTTGTACTTAAATCAGAAAATGCTTTGTGAACCATATGCTATACTTTAAATCAATAAGCTAAATTTTGGAAAGCAGAATAAGCGATCATGGAACCTGACTGTCAGCTTGGTGCTTCAGTTTGACCACTAGCCCCCCCAAAGGGAAAAGGTCTGATGCTTAGGTTGCATTTCTTAATTTTCATTATCAATAACCTAGTTGATACTTCATGAGTGTTTGTTGGTTGAGTGAATGCATAAATGATGAAGTAAAACTTGGAATTGGTTAGAGGCACAATGTGCGTTGTGATGCTTTTGTCTTGTTTGCCGCAGATTTGATGCTTCCAGGCCTGGTGGTGCCCCCTGCTGGTCTGCCGCAGGTACAGAAGGGGGACCTCTGTGCCATTGCCTTGGTGGGGAACAGGTACTGTGCCTGTCCGCTGTGCCTTTGGGGGGAAAACTTAGGTAAAACTGGGGAAGGGGGTGAGAAAGGACAACTTCCAAAGCTTATAGATAAAGGATTAAAAGAAAAAAATGGGTTCTTCTTTCCCAAAGCAGAGAGTGGGCCATGGGGGAATGGCAGTGAGCCTGTGTGGGTGTCCACATAGCTCAGCTGAGCATATTTGCTGCTGTTTTCTTTCTTTCTTAATAATTTTACATTTATGTAAGAGTTGCCAAGATAGTATAGAGTTCTTACCCGGCATCCTTTAATGATAATGTTTTATATAACTATAGTACAGTTATCAAAACTAAGAAATTAACGTTGGTACAATCCTATTAATACAATTGTAGACTTTGTTCATATTCCCTCAGTTCTTCCACGAAATGTCTTTTTTCCACTCAAGGATCCGATCTAGGACAGCACATTGCATTTAATTGTTGTGTCTTCTTTGTCTCTTATCTGTGACATTTTCTTGGTCTTTCCTTGTTTTTCATGGCCTTAACATTTTTTTCTCCGACATCCACATCATCATCCTTTTTTCTTTTTTAAAGATTTTATTTATTTATTTCAGAGAGAGAGAGAGCATGCTCGAGCTGGGTGAGGGGCAGAGGGAGAAGCAGACTCCCTGCTGAGCAGGGAGCCCTATGTGGGGCTCGATCCCGGCTTGATCCCGGCTTGATCCCAGGAATCCGGGATCGTGGCCTGAGCCGAAGGCAGACGCTTAACCGACTGAGCCACCCAGGCACCCCTCATCATCCTTTTTATTCAAATTATTTTAATAGCTTTATTCAAATGTGGTTTTCATACTGTAAAATTCACCTATTTCTCACATGTATAGTTCAGTGATTTGTAGTGTATTTGCAGAGCTGTTCAGCCATCACCACACAGCTTCTTTTTAAAAATAAATTAGGAAGTAATCATATAAACAGTCCTGAAAAATCAAACCCCCCTCACCCCAAAGCCCTTTGCTCCTAGAAGTATCATCTGATACATATATTGAGTGCATGTATATGTTTGTGTATGAAAATGTATGATTTGGGTATGTATGTTTAAAAATACAAATAAACAGAACTATACTTTATATTGTTTTTTCACTTAAGATCAAGGGGACATTTTCCACATCAGCAAGCTCAGTTATGCTGAGTCTTCTTACCTCCTACGTGGTCCTCTCCTAGTGGACCTTGTGGTTGCCTCCAGTTTGTCTTCATCACGAACAGTCTTACTGATGCCTCTAGGGACACCAGTGCCATTATTTTTCCAGAGTGGACACTAAGAAGCAGAACTATTAGGCTAAAGATCAGGTGTATTTTTCTGCTGCCCTACAAGAAAGCCGTATCCATTTTCACTCCCACCTACAGGGTATGTGGAGCCTGTTTTCCTACACTCCACCAACACTGGATACAATGGGTTATTTTCATTTGTGTCATCCCGGGTGAGCAATGGTATCTCATTATTTTGCTCATTGCTGCTTTGAGAGAGAAAAGAGAGACTGTAGGCACGGGAGGGGTCAGTGTTCAAAGATCTTAATGTTGCTACTCATGTTCTCCTGTTTTCCTTGAACCTTTTGGAACCAAGTACCTAGAAATGTTTCCTTCCTTGTTGAACTGGCACAACTTGCAGTTGAAAAGGTTGGTGGTGTCACTGCTTTCCCGATATTCTATCCAGAACAGGAGAAAACTACAGAAATGTATATTTGGCCTGCTTGGTTTGGCCTTTAGACTGTATTGGGGGATGAAGCTTGAGAGTGGTTTGTGGCCGAGAATAAAGGTACAAGGAGGTTTATTAATAATACAAACCATGTTCGAGACCTAAGTTTCTGAGCCATTGACTCCTCCAGAGGTGAAAGGAAAAGACCCCTCTTTTAGGAACTGAGAAAGAAACCAGATTCAAAGTTTCCGTGGCAGGAGTTGACCTCTGGGGACAGTCAGTGGGGACACCAGGTTAGCAAACATCTTTCTTAAGTTCAGGTTGGGAACTCTGCCCTTGAATCATCTCCCTTGTGCCCAGGTGACCCTGCCAGGCTTGTATGTCCCCCCACTGTTATCCAGTTGGTCACCCGTCCTTATGGGCAGTGTGTGGGCAATGCTTGAGTAACACTGGGCCGGAGGCGGTTTCTCATTTGGGCTTTGGAAGTTTTTGTAGTTACTGTAAATGTGATTGTTTTCGATCTTCTGGACGCACCCAGTTCTTAGATTGCTCGTTACACAGAGCGAGGCCTGTTATAAGGAGCCAACTCAGAAGGAACCTCTCGAGTTAGTGCCACTGTTTATCTCTTCTCTCTTCCCTGTGGTATACCACAGCCTCATTTATGGCATACAGTTGTCCTTCCTTTTGAAGCTCTGTATAGGATGGCTAGGCCTTTAAGGTAGGGGAGGTAATTTTACAGTTTTGAAATTAAAGGGAACTTTAAATATCCTTGCAAGTCCTGCCTGGGTTTGATTCATTGTAGGAATAAAAACAAACAGTGATAACGTCAACAGAAGAGTTATTTATACAGAAGGGGAATGTTTGGTCAAGGGATTTTTGAGAGTTGTATTTATAGGTAATCGGAAGAAAACTGAGGCTGGACTGAGTTTCGTTTTGTGATACAGGCGGTTGCTTCAGATTTGCCAATGTGGTGCTTTTAGCACATGAGTGGAAAGATGCCCCTGACGTGTACCCTTCTGAAAAGCTTTCCCTGACCCACGTCTCTGGCTTCCTCCTCCTCAGAGCCCCTGTTGCCATCGGAGTTGCTGCCGTGTCCACAGCTGAGATGCTGACTTCGAGCCTCAAGGGGAGGGGCTTCTCCATGCTGCACACCTACCGGGACCACTTGTGGTGGGTCCTCTGTCTCTTCTGTTTTACAGAGAGCTGGGTGGGTGGAGAGGGCATGGGGCCTGGATTCACAAGTGAGAGTTTGGGGCCCTGCCATGTCTGTAGGCAAGTCGCTGATTCCAGACATTCATTTCTTCACTAAATGTGGAGGAAAAAATGGATGGATGGATTGGTTGGTCGGTTTAACTTTTTTTTTTTTTCTTGTTTGGGGAAGAAATTACAGAGAACTTTGATTATTTTCTAGGTGAACGGTAGAATCCTAGGCCTAGAAGAAGACCTTAGGGACTGTCTACTCTGCCTCTCCGCACTGTGATATTCTTTATTTTTATAGCTTCAGTAGATGCTGCCTTATCTGCCACCCACATTTAGGCATCTTCTTGCCTCACGGCGAGTGCTCAGAAATTCTCACTTCTGAATCCAAATCAAAGCAGAGTAGATCCTCAGGCACCACGGTCATAACCTGATCATTTTTCTGTTGTTCAGGTTTCACATTGCAGATCTCCTCCCCATTATGGAAGTCACGTTTTCTCACTGTAATAATTGCTTTCTAAAACCGCATACTAGTTTCTTCTTTGGTTATTTTCTTGTCTTTTTACCAAAACAGTAAATAGGGCTTTTCTTGAAAGTGGTGTAGCTGGTCTTTTGGCCAAGTGTTGTGGCCTGTTGGTGTAGATTCATCCTAACATTTCTAGCCCAGCCTTGGAGTTCCTCCTTTTATAAGGCTTGGCCAAACCCCGCCCTGCTGGAGGAGGTACAACCACAGTCGGGGTCTCCGCAGACGTGTGAGGGCTGCTTACCGATGTTCTCCGGACGCCCTGCTTTCTGTCAGTCTGCACAATGGCTGTCAAGGTCATGTTGCCTGAATTGTTCCACCGGTGGCTGCTTCAGTCCCCCTGCCCCCACCTTTTAAAAATATTTATGTACTTACCTCATCAGAATCGCTTAAACACATAGTCTGGCCTCACTATTCACAATACTATTGAGACTTGCTGCAACCGTCAGTGAAAACTCGGTTTGGTTTCCGTCATCTCGTGCTGCATGCTCCGTATGCAGCATCGCTTTTTTTCCTGTCTTCCTAAGGCTTAGTGGCATGAAAGCATGTCATCGCTACTCTGCAAGTTAGAGCGCATCCTGATAGAACACAGAAGCAACTGACTTGCAGTCCCGGAGCAGGCCGGGTGCTTGTACTTTGTCATGTACTCTGAGCCTCGGATCGGATCTCACCAAACTCGTACTGCGGATGCGTTTGCCACCTTACTTTTGTTATTGAATTCAAAATGGTTTTATTTTTAATTCACGTGAGGGGAATCCTTTTGGGGGCTTCTCTTTAACTGCTTTTTCTTTCATCTTTCTTTGTCCCCAGATGTGGATGAGTGATATTATTATTCCTTTGGGATAGGATAGGTTGGAGGCAAGAATTACTCTCCCCATTTCAGAGATGAGGAAGCTGAGGCATGGTATTTTTCTGGGCCCAGAATTGGGAATGGGGTTTAGGTGAGAGCCCGGGCTCTCTGCCCTCCCCTGGACACCCCTGCCTGTGGCTCTCACTCTTTCCGGACTCTCAGCTGACCCTGACCAGAATCAGAGAGTGCTGTGGCTGCCGCTCGGCGTTTCTGACGTGCAGTTTTTCTAGGCGATCTGGAGACAAGTCTTCTCCACCTTCCTTGGCTCCACTGGCCCTGGATCCCCCAGATCTCAATGAAGAGAAGGGGTCTGTCCAGGCAGACCCCGCCCTGCAGGGAGACGTGAGGTGCCTGACCCTGGAGGGAGAGGACAAGGCGAATGGCGAGGTTCAACAGCAGATGTGTGGGGAGAAGTCCCTGTCAGAAGCCTCAGAAGACCCCAGCGTCAGGGCCCTGAACCCAGACCCCACAGACAGCAGGAGCCTGAAAGGTATAGCTCTGGGAGTAGAAGGACCCACCTCCTCTCAATTTAGGAAACGTGTTCTACTCTGCTTCCGACCAGAGTGGTGCCGAAGCTCTAGGACGGCAAAGTCCTTATCTTTGGTGAGGGCGGTGATGCAGCCCTTTGACGTCGCACCAGGGAGTCCTTGCCCCACAAGTCCTGCTTCCCGGCATGCCAGTGTGCCCTGGCGTTTGGACTGCTTCCAGCTACAGAGGCCTCCGCGGTCTCTTCTGGTTCTGACTTCTCTGTCAGAGAAGCATTTGCTCCTGGCCGGCGGGGGGCGGGGGGGCCTGGTGGCTGGACCCCTCCTCTGGGGTGTGCCCTCTTTAAAGGCTCAATGCTCAAGAGAGTCTGGGAGCTTTGGGACCCGGGAATGGGTTCCTTCCAGGGCTGAGGGGGTGAGGCAGGGGTGGAGCTGGGTGGGGTGTTTACTTGTACTGCAACAGGCATCCTGTAGCCTTCAGAAAAATATGGTTCTTGTCTTTTCCTTGCAGAGCAAATGGATGAACTGTTACAGCGATGCTTCTTGCACGCTTTAAAGTGCCAAGTCAAAAAAGCTGACCTCCCTTTACTCACCAGCACGCTCCTTGGCAGCCACATGTTCTCCTGCTGGTACGGAAGGCAGGGTGTGGGCCGCGGGGCTTTCTCTGGTGCATTGGTGGTGTGTCAGGACAGGATGGGGGAATTGGTTGAGGGACATGCTGTGGAGACAGTGGAGTGGAGAGTTGATCTGGCAAATAAATCAGGTCCTGAGTTTTAAAAACTTAGATTTTAGCCAGTGAAAGGTTGTTGAAGAAATGAAGGTTAAAATTCCCAAGATTCTCTGAGCACTGCCTCTGCTATGGTAATTCTGGGCTGGCTCGTGAATCAGGCAGCACATCCTGTCCAGGAAGCATCCCGGGGCAGCCTTTTTGTCAAGAGGCTTCTTCCGAACGTTCAACCCCTCCACACTTTCCCTGCAAAGTAGGTGGGCCACATTATATTGTATCAGGAGGAAGAGTCATTGTGGGGGGAGGCCATTGGGGTGGCCCCAAACACAGGCCACCAAGAGAGACAGTAATACATGCAGATAGAACCTGGGCTTTGGAAACAGCCATCTGGACGCAAATGCCAGTTCCCCAGGGTTTTGGAACAAGGTGAATTTGAACTTGTTATCGGGCTTCTCTGAACTCGAATTTCCAGCACTTGTAGGATTGTTGTCAAGATTCACTGACCTCACATTTAATAAGCAGCCAGGAAAAATCCTATCAGAAGGTTTGCTCCTTGATTGGTATACCACAACTCAACTTTTCTCTTTTTGAGAATTTTGTTCTGTTTTTTTAAAAAGTGGTTTTGATGTAATTCTCTTCCTGCTTACATGTGGGCTCCTTTAAGGCGTCCTGTACCAGGTGGGTCTGGAGCATGTGGTGGGATACTTGGTAATTTCTGCTGACCTTACTGGGTTATAAGTAACTGGGAAAGAGATCCTAGAATCTTCTCTGGGATAGAGGTTCTTAACCTGGGGCGGGTTCTAGAGGGACTCTCTATGAATCCCAAGGCTATTGCTTGCCACATTTTGAGAGAAGACTTAAGTTCTGAGAAGAGGGCCTGATTATGGCTTTCATAGGAACCTCCCCCCAAAAACTAACAGCTGTAGGGTGGGGGTTCACAAAGTCTTTCTCTCAAGAGCCAGATCTTGTAGGCTTTGCAGACCAGTCTCTGTTGCAGCTCCTCAGCTCTACTGTGTCAGCAGACAGTAGATGAATGGCTGTGGCCAGATAGGGCCTACGGGATAGAGTGCCAGTCCTGCCCTTGGCCCAGCTGCCTCAGTGAGCTTGATGTTGGCAAGGTTCACCTTGAGGCGAAGCTTTGGAGGCCACAGGTGGTGGTCCAGTTCGAGAGGACTCTAAAGCTATATCCGGTACAGGAGCCACTACCCACATGTGGCTATTTAAATTTAAACTAATTAAAATTAAATAAAATTTAGAATTTAGTTCCTCGGTCACATTAGTTGTGCGTCAAGTGCTTAACAGCCCACATGCAGCCAGTGGCTGCCGTGTTGGATGACAGGTAGAGAACATTCCGTGTTTACAGAAAGGGCTGTTACACAGCAGTGATCTAGGGTGTCCTAAAGTCGGTACCCTCTCTGCTGCTGCCCCTGGGCAGAGGGCTCTGGAATAGCAGCTTCTTTCTGAACATGGAGGAGGAAGGCTGAGGAAAAATGCCCTCCTCTCAGCAGCTTTGTTAGCTTCACTTGTTTTCCGTCTACCACCAGCCCTGAAGGACGACAGCTGGACGTGAAGAAATCAAGCTACAAAAAGGTAAGCAGGTACCTTCTCTGCAGACCCACACAGAGAGATGTGTAGGCTTACACGCGCCATGAGCTGGATGGACCCTGGGGAAGCCCCGTCTGTAGGGCTTGGGCTAGAATTAAGCTTTCTGATTCCAGGTATGGGGGGCGCAGGGGAGGGGGAAAGAAAACTCTCCCTGAGTTGAGGCAGTTGGGAGAGCACCCACTCCCCTCTCCCCCTTCCGCCCCTTTGTATCTGACCAGAGTTCTGGAAGACTTCCCCAGTTAGCCTGTAGCAGCTTCTCACTCCCTGAGCCTCAGGGCGGGGGCCTCCCAGTTCCCGGTTTGATGAGGGCAGGGACTGTCATGCGTCCATCCCCAGGAGCGGCCTCGCTCAGTGTGTGGCACATCGGGTGCTCAGAATGGGCATGGAATCCATGGAGTCCCTACCCCTGGCCCTCTCTCCCTTAGCTCTCTAAGTTCCTGCAGCAAATGCAGCAGGAGCAGATTATACAGGTGGAGGAGCTGAGCAGAGGGGTGGAGAGCATTGTGGCTGTGGACTGGAAGCACCCAAGGTGAGTGCAGGGGGCCTGCTCACTGTAGCTCAGCCACCGCAAGGCACCTGGGCCCCGGGCTGGGAACTGCCCAGTTGCTAGTATAAAATGTGTTTTTTCTTTCCTTCTGCTGGGTTTTAGGATCACATCTTTCGTCATACCCGAGCCCTCCCCGACCTCCCAGACTATCCAGGAGGGTAGCAGGGAACAGCCCTATCACCCTCCAGATATAAAACCCCTCTACTGTGTCCCAGCCAGCATGACCCTGCTCTTCCAGGAGTCTGGCCACAAGTGAGTTTTTGGAGAGCAGCCCTCTGCCTGCTTGGTGTTCCGGCCTGTAGTTCCTCTCAAGCTGAGTAGCCTTCCTCTGTGACTGGCAGAACCTGTGGCGCCCCTGGTCCCCCTTTCTCCCACATCCAACTTCAAGCCTCCTTCCCCTGGACAGTGTCTCTGACTAAACGAACGAGAGCAGGTGCCTCCCTTTCCTCCCTGTAATCATCCTTCACGAGGCCCTGCTCACCTCAGTCAGGAAAGGGAAGAAAACAAAGCTCAAAAAGCCAAGGAAAGCAGCCTACTGAGCAGAGAGTGAGTCTTGGTATCTGCAGTTTGTCTCCTGGCACAGCACGAACTAACCCCCCGCCCCCTGTCACTTCTGACCTAGGAAGGGGAGCGTTCTCGAGGGTGCTGAGGTCCGGACGATCATCATCAACTATGCCAAGAAGAACGACCTGGTCGATGCGGACAACAAAAAGTGAGTGGCTGGGGAGCCCTGCTGAAGATCGGTCAATCCCCGACAGCACAGACTTGGATACACCTTGGAGGATGTCTGGGATAGAGGGGAACGTAGGAGATCGCAGCCTTTTCGAAAGAATCAAGACCAGTGGTTTCTAAACCATGGGCTGTGGACACCTAGGCTTGTCCAGGGTGCTCGGATCCATATGTGGCGTCAACACTGGCTGTAGCCTGAGGACGTGGTAGCTCATAGACACCCATGACTGGTTTTCCCAATGCACATGCCCTTGTGAGGAATCAAGTGCAGCTTAGAAAAATTTTACTGAAGTCATCATGGCTTTTTGGTATCCTCTATTTTCTTAGTAAGTTGGCACAAAAGGTAACTACTAAATGAAGAGCATTCCATTACCGTTTTTCTTTTTCACTTTCAAAAGACATCCCCATGATCAAAAAGTTGGGAACTAGCAGTCTGATCATGGTTAGGTAGCAGAACTGGGCCAAGAATCCTGGTGTGTGGATTTATCCCACTCCCCGCTCCACTGCTGGCTGCTCGCTTGTCCTTGGAAAACATACCGGACCTCCCATCCACAGGGTGCATCGCTTCATGGGCTCTGGTCCCTGAATTGGTTCTCATGGTCCTGAATGACTACAAAGGACATAGAAGAGATGAATCCTGAGCTGGCCCTTGGGTCAGAAGGGGCAGGGCTGGCATTTCCTTATTGCCTCTTCTTTCCCTTTAGTCTCGTGAAATTGGATCCCATCCTATGTGACTGCATCTTAGAGAAAAATGAACAGCACACAGTCATGAAGCTTCCATGGGACAGTCTCCTGACCAGGTAGTGGGGATTGGCAGTCCCTCTCAAACGTTTCTATCCCCTCCCCTTATTGTCTATCCTTTGGACTTTAGAATCATCGCTGTCTCAGTCTTTGACTTTCTCTCCATAATTCAACTGATACTAGTCTACATAAACACGGGCTTGGTAATTTTTATGTGGAGGATCCTTGGAATGGTTTGAGCCAACACAATATAGGAGAACTTAAAGGGAGAAAGAAAAAGAACAGTTAATTAAAAATAAGACCTTCAAAAAGATTTAGAAGCAAAAAGAGGCTGGGAGGAATTGTCTTAAAGTCATCAAAGGAAAGACTCTATGCTCTTTCTTTTCCACAGAACAAAACTGAAAATAATTTCTATCAGGAGTTTGCAAACTACAACCCACAGGCCAAATCTGGCCTGCTACCTGTTGATGTAAATAAGCCACACCCATTTGTTCATTGTCTGTGGGCTGCTTTTGTGCTAACAACGGCGGAGTTGGGTGGTTGCACAGACCCTGTGGCCCTTAAAGCCTAGAATATTTCCTGCCTGGCCCTTTATAGAAAGTTTGTACAGTCCCAGTATATATGATACCAAGAGAAAATCTGGTTAGATGAAAGGTAGACATTCTTTGTGGTAAAGGCTTTCTCTAGAAGATGAGTCGGAACACGTCACAGATGGGAAGCAGCACTTTACCAGGCTGGGTACGTGAGAGTCTTGAGACAGGAAGTCAATTCCCCAAGGCAGCCTGGGCAGAGTGTCAGAAGACCAGACCACTGGACAGTTTCCAGGGGCTCAAGTCACTAATGAATCCCTTCCCTGAATCCCTGGGCCTTGACTTGGGCCATACTTCAGGGATCTTTAAAAAACATATATGCCTAATCGGAGTTTCTGATTTAATTGGCCTTGGATGCAGCCCCCTAGGTGAGGTCAGTGATTCTCAGTGCAGCCTGGGGCAAACCGCTGCCTACACGAGCCTGGCTCACACCCAGCTGCCACTAGCAGTGGGGAATGAGATGATTTCTGTTGGCTTTATCAGTCTGTAGCTCACGAACTCCTGTTTCAGATGTTTGGAAAGATTGCAGCCTGCCTATCAAGTGACCTTTCCAGGACAAGAGCCCGTTATGAAGAAAGGCAAAATCTGCCCAATTGACATCACCGTAGCGCAGAGAGCGTCTAATAAAAAGGTAATTTTAAAAAAGACACAATGTTGACGGGCGCCTGGGTGGCTCAGTTGGGTTAAGCGTCTGCCTTTGGCTCAGGTCATGGTCCTGGAGTCCTAGGATTGAGCCCTGCGCTGGGTTCCCTGCTCAGCAGGGAGTCTACTTCTCCCTCTCCCTAAGCCCCTCCCCCTGCTCGTGCTCTCTCTCTCTCTCTCTCTCTCCCTCCCTCCCTCCCTCCCTCCCTCCCTCCCTCTCTGCATGCTCTCTCAAATAAATAAATAAAATCTTTAAAGAAAAAAAAAAAAAGGACACAGTGTTGGAAGATGGTGATTTAATATCCCCGCTAAGTTCTAGTCTCTCTAATGTGATTGGAGGTATGTATGTATTTATTTATTCATTCATTCATTCATTTTTAAAAATTTCATTTATTAGAGAGAGAGAGAACGAGAGAGAGAGTGCACAAGCAGGGGGAGCTGCAGAGGGAGAGGGAGAAGCAAACTCCCCGCTGAGCATGAAGCACGACATGGGGCACCATGCCAGGACCCTGGGATTATGACCTGAGCCAAAGGCAGACGCTTAACTGACTGAGCCACGCAGGTGCTCCGTGTTTGGAGGTTTTTAGATTTTGGCCTCAAACACCGCAAAGATTGTTTATGAAACAGCCATGTTTGTGTGAGTGGGCTGGGCCCTGTATAAAACAGGCAGAGCTGGCCCTCTCACCTCCTACCCTCTAGGATTTTGTGCTAGGACACTTGCTAGAGCCTAGTTACAAAGGTAAACAAGATTTTGTTTTTATTTTTTTCCTAGACCTGTTACGGGCTTTCAGCTCTTACTCATTCTATTACCTCTTGGGCCTTGCTCAGGGAAAAACAGCTTATAAAGAATTGCTGAAGGAAGTGAGTGTGTGTAGCCTGGCAACACAGAGTCCTAGGGAGCTAATTCTATCTGGCCCAAGTGTGTGAAAAGCTGTCCTTGGGAAAAGGAGTGCACTTAATGCTGAGATGCCTTGGGAAGACAGAAATAGGATTATTGGATGGAAATCCCAAGCAGACAGGCTTGGGTTCCAGATAAAGAACTTTCTAGTGTTTGGGTTATGCGAGTGGGCTTTAGCATTAGAGATATGGGCTCAAATGTGACCTTTGCCTTGCTGCTTGTCCTTGAGAAAGTGAATGGTTTTTTCCCTGAGTTTTCTTATATGAAAAATGGGGATAATACCCACCATATAAGGCATCGTGAGGGCCAAATGAAGGAAATACATGGGTGAAGCACTTAGAATAGTACTTGGCATTTAAGCAGTGAGTAAATGAGAACCAGTAATGAGAACCTCAATAATAACTAGCAATAGCCACTATTTCTTGGGTGCGTAATTATGTGCCAGACTCTGTCCTAAGCAATTTCTGTATATACAGGTTTCCCCCGCTAGCTGAAAGTGGAGCATTCCTATGAAACCTTTTGTCAGCTGAAATGGGGTAAAGCAAAGAAGCAATTACCATGACTTTATATGGAAAAAATTTTGAGCATTCCCAGACCCCAAAAAATAACTCTCTTAGGCTTTTCTGATACGTCAGGACACGTCTTGCTAACGGATGCACAGAATAACTGGAGATAAAGCACAGATGCTCCCAGACACAGTTCAGAGATCTGGGGGCTGGGCGCTGAGGTGCTGAGTGTCGTCCCCGGGGCAGGAGCTTGGCGGGGGCCCCCCTCTTGCTGCTGCTCGGGGTGCACGCTGGCTCTGTGCGGGCTCCCTGCAAAACCAGTGCTGAGCGCTATGTTCACTTTTCACCTTTCTTTGTAAGAGTGAAACCCTCCGGATTTCTTTCAGTTAGCAAAAAAAAAGTACTAATGTAGGTCTTTTCATAAGAGCGAAGTGGTGTACCGTGAACTTTGAAAAAGCAGGGAACATTTGTACTAGCTTATTGAAACACTATTAATATTAACGGTAACAGTTAGAATTGTCCCAAATTAAAACTGGTGCTTTCCAAAATAGGGAGTTCTTGTCTGGAGGTCTGCAAGCAACAATTGGGTGACCACTTGTTGGGGGAAGATGTAGTCCAGAGTGCATACATCAGGGAATAGATGTGATCTCTAATGTCTTATCGATTCTGAGGTTCTCTGGGGCTGGAGTCCCTTGACAAGCCTGGGTTATTTGGAACCTATGACTTTATTGAAAGCAGCCCTTCCCAACCCATTCCTGATGGTAACATACTCTACTATCTCTAGTCATGAATTCAAGAGAACTTGTTTCAAAAAGGGAAGAATTGTGACTTTTTTTTAAGTATCAGTGTTTTTTTTTTTAATCTCAAAATCACAAATAAGTCATTTGTGAAGTTGATAATAGAAAAATATTTGTGTTCCTGATGAGATGCTTGATATTAAGGAATTATTGTCCATTTATTTTTAGGTATGATGATGGTTTTGTCTTTATGTTTAAAAGAACCCTTATCAAAAATAAATAAATAAAAAATAAATAAAAGAACCCTTATCTTTTAGAGATAAGTACTAAAGCATTTGTAGATAAGATGAACTGATGTTTAGGAGGATTTGCTCTAAAGCAATAGGGACAGGGATATAGGTGAATTGAGGTTGGTCATGAGTCGATAATTGTTGAAATGATGGGAACATAGGAGCACAGTATTCAATTCTACTTTTATTTATGTTTTTAATTCTCCATAACAAAAAGCCTTTTTTAAAAAAGTGTATGTTGCAGGTGGGATAGAGAGTATTCTACTATGTATATAACACAGATACTGATGGGACGGAAAGAATCAGGAAGTATAAAAATAAACGATGTGGATGGAAAGGGCCCGTGGTTGTCGGGACGGTGAACGTGGCGGGTGAAGCGGCTGCGGAGGCTCCAGCAGGCCCTGTGGAGGGGAGGGCGTGCGGTCCCCCCACCACCTGCCTTCTGTCCCCGCAGGTGACTGTGGTCCGGAACTTGGAGGCCTACGGTCTGGACCCGTACGCAGTGGCAGCCGTGCTCCAGCAGCGATGCCAGGCTAGCACGACTGTCAGCCCGGCCCCTGGGGCCAAGGACGGCCTGCAGGTCCAGATCCAGGGAAACCAGGTCCGTCATCTCAGCCGGCTGTTACTTGGTGAGCATCTCCTCTGGAGAAGGAGCGCGGGTCTGACTTGGCCAGAACCTTCCCACCAACTCCAGCCCCTCTAGTCATCACAGCCGTACATATGTATGTGTCTGTGGCCGTCAGTGTGTAGTGAGGGGCCGGCAAGAGACCAAGCCGGTATTTGCGCCAGATGCTTTGGCCCCCCGAGTCCGTGCTCTCTCCACCATACCGCTGGAGTAGTTTTCTTCCTGGCTTTCCCTTTTATAGAGCATCCCAACCATGCTGGGTACTTTGCTGGGCTTTTTGCAGGCACCATCTCTCCTCATCAGAACGATGTAGCAGAACTGTTTGTGTTTTGCAGCTGAGGAAGCCGAGGCTCAGAGAGGCTCAGTCGCTTGCCCTCAGATACTCAGCTGTTCAGCGCTGCAGCTGGGCTCCGGACTTGGCTTTGTCAGACCCCAGAGCCTAAGTTCTTTCTCCCAACTCTGGGTCACCCAGCCTCCGGCTTGTCCTTGATTCACGTCCCCTCTGCCTGAGTCCGCTTTCCATCACTCTCCTCTAAACACTCCTTGTGCCACGCCAGTGCCTGCAGAACAGGCCCCTATGCTCAATAAATAAGACCCTCCCATTCCAACTCCCGTTCCCCTCGAGCTCTCTCTGGCAGCTCTCACCGCCCCCCACCCCCACCTCAGGCCTCAGCCGCACTGCTGTCCTCACTGTTCCCCATGCACACTCGGTGCTTGTGTCCCTGTTCCCTCATGCACTGTGCCCTCCCACAGCCCACGTCTGCCCAACGGAGGGCCTCATCGGCCCAGCTCAGGGGTCCCGGGAAGCCTGTCTCAGAGCATGTCCCATTTTTTCTGTCCTTAAATTAGCATTTAAAATATTGCCTATGTGGCACTTTCTACTTGTGTTTATTTTTCTGGTTAGTGTCTGCCACTTGACCAGTTTTTTCTAATGTCTGAACCCCCTGCTAGACTGAGCAACTTAAGTCAGAGACCTTGCCTTCTTCATCCCTTTTTCACACTCAGGGCCTGGCACATAGTGCATGCTCAATAAGCACATGTATTTTAGGGCCTAAGGCAGTACCCTGTAGTAAACTTTTGGAGTTGCCCCCTTTAAGTGAAGAACCCGATAGGAGGTGCTGAGAAGAAATACAGAGGAAAATAGACAAGCACATGACTGAACGCAGATGAACACGTTCTCTCTCCTGAGAAAATTATGAATGCCTCAAGTATATCTAGAAAGTGGCTTTCAGAGTGAAAATTGCTAAAATACACACATCAGCCATGAGGTGTAAGGATAAATGGCCCATCCCAGACAACTGCCCAGAGGAGCTGGGTTCGAGCTGGGTGTGGAAGAGCAGGTCACGGGATGCAGGCTGACTGAAGAGAAGTTGATAATGGGAATGGGCGCACAGTGGGGCCGGGGGTGGGAGGTAGCCATGTGGGTCAGGGCCTGTGGGGGTCGGGGCCAAGGAGGGACGTTGTGACACAAAGCATAGGTGGTGTTGGGGAGGGCATGCCCCACTTAGGAGTTTCTGCTTCTTGGATTGTAGAAGACTATCAGCTTCCTCGAAAACACATCCAAGGCCTAGAAAAGGCCCCCAAACCCGGCAAGAAGAAGTAACAGACTCCTGTCTCATGTGGTCGATCCAGTGGAAATCCAGGCTCTGGGCTGGTCATTTATACGAGCATTTTCAGCTTTTGCAAATGAAAAAATATAATTCTTTACCAAAATAAATTTTTATTCTAACCTAAATCTGGTTTCCTCCACTTAGCTAGACTGTTGTACTACATTTTCAAGTCATACGTCAATTTACATCGACAGGAGAGGTGGTAGTGGAGTGCCTTTTCTATTCATGTGATTTCAGTGGTTTTAGTTCCTTTCCTGCTTTCAGGGCAGGTGGCTCATCCAAAGCTCAGGCAGGCAGGACCTTGTGTTTTGAAAGCCCCTCTAGCAAATAGTCCACACCCTCGTGCTCATCTGTTCCTACCCGCTAATTAACGTCCTTGCCCCAAAAGAGTCCCCTCGCATCTCTAAAGAGTTAGTCGCCCAGAAGCAGCACTCAGCTGTTCTCTGCCATCAAGCCAGGCCAAAGAAGAAAGGCTTGGCTCTGAATGGCAGCAGCATTCCGGCTGGACAGGTAGAAGAAATCATGAAAGCATCTGGATTCCCCTGCACGATTCTTCCCCCACGCTGGCACGCTGCCTCCCGCCGTAGTAAATCGTGAGGTGGCTTTGTTACAGGAAAGAGTCTTATCCAACTTTTGGGGGCTCGTGGAAGAGGTCTTCAGTTGGTCTTCAGAGAGTCTGTGAACTCCCTGAAATGGTGTGCAGGATTTTGTATGCTCCTTTTCCCAAGAGAGGTTCCCATGCTTTTGTCACGTGCCCAGCGGGATCACTTGCTGCCAGAAAGGTTCAGAAGCACTGCTCTGGTCCCTGCTTAGTTCCTGGGAGTCACTTCTGTGACCAAAGCACTCCTTGTACAAAAGGAAGGAGTGAGAGCTGAGCTGAATTCTTCTAGAGTTTTTTGGTTTTACCATCAAAAAACAATTAGAGTTTACTTTTTTTTTCTTTCTCATCCCCCCCCCCCTTTTTTTTTATAAATCAAGATAAGAAACACTTGAAAATATCCACACTATTCACAAATAACCCATCTGGGGCTAGAAAGGAAGAAAGGGATGGTTATGAAAGTGTGTGTGTGACGCTTCCTACCTTTCGTTATTAGACCTAGAATAACAGTCTTTGTCACTAATGACTCACTGTAAGTAAACTCCTTAATTTTACTAATCCTCTCTCTGCCAGCATGAGCCTATGGAACTGAGGAAGGGATTTTTGGAAATTGACCCCAAACAAGATTCTATGACATAGAACCTTTGGACAGACAGTTTGATCTGAGGGAGTGTGGTATGTATAGTAGTAATGGAATATGGTCCTTATATGAACACAGATAACGTGTAGTACTTTGTAAGTTTCTTTCACAAACATGATTTACCTTGCACAAATTGATTGGAGGCTGAGAGGTCGTGTCTCGCCTTGTTGATCTCTGTTAAAGACACAAAGCCAGTAAACAGCAAGGGTGGGTCTAGAATGCACTTCCACTCCGGACTGTGGTTTACCTCAGAGTTCTGCTAAGATTGTGCTGTCAGGACCTGTGCTTTGAGTGGTTTTTTCCGGTAACAATGACCCGTTTGCGCTGACTCACCTTCGCTCTCCTCCTCAGGAACACCATAGGCACGTGTAAGAAGGCTGGGGAAGGTTAGGCTGTTGAATGGATTTTTTTTTCTCTGTGCTAAGCCCAACCGTCTCTTTCAAGGTCAAATTAGTAACTTTGAACTTAATCCCATGATGTTACCGAATGAGTTGCAGTGAAAAGCAGAAAATGGTTCATGGCCAGGTTTTGGCGAAGTTATTAAAAGACCTACTTCTTGGAGGTCTAGGCGAACAGATGTTACAGATAAGCCCGATTCTCGGATAATTTTAGGAATGTCTATTGGATGGAGGTAGGGAGTGAGCTGGCTGCGCTCTGACCAGCCTCTGTGGCCCAAAGGGCCCCATTCAGTGCATTACGCGTGCTCCCTCCTGGAAGGCGGGCAGCAATTTCTTCTTAATAACCTTACGTGGTTATTTCCGTGATGACAGAGCCGTTCCTCTGATGGAAGTTAGATAGTGCTATTGTGAAAGGACTGTTTCACTCGCCTCATCTAGCCTTCCCCCTCTAGGTGAGGTGACCTTAAACTCTGAGAGATGCATCCTGTCTGTCTTATTTTTAAATAATTCCAGACAGGGAAGAATCATCGTCCACCTCAGTAGTCTGTCCTGATGCTTAATCATCCTTGGCTCCAGAAAGCCCCTCCCCTCTTCTCACTCTACAAGGATCTCCTTCTAGAACACATCCCCTTTCCTCTCCTGCTCTGTGGGCTAGCTCAGCAGCTGGGCACCCGGGCAGCACCCTCCGGCCCACGCGCTTGGACAGGTTTCTCAAGATTGACCAGCAGCCTTCACTCCTCTGTTCGCTGGCGGGAGAAAATCAGACTCCGTGCAGAAGTACGTGCTCTTCTCCATTCCCACCCTTTCCCCCGGCTCCCAATTTCCAGGAGGTGGTGAAGGGCAAAGAAGATCTCTCCAGTCTGGGTCATTTTTGCAACAAGCTTTTATTACTTTTTTTAAAACCCATATAAGAAAGACATTTAAAAAGAAAATATCCTCAAAACAAATATGTACACACAGGGCAGCACAAGGATAGAAGGCACTCCCAGCCGCCATACCCGCCCCCGGGGGGAGGGATACTTTGTACAGACTATTCATCGAGGCTCGGGCCTCAGCGTGGCTCCTGGGTCTAACTGTGCTTTAGATAAAGTCAGAATTTTCCATAATTTTCTTATTTCATAAACACCCCTATCTCTTTATATATAGCTATATGCCTTTATGTATATATGTACATGACTTTATTTTCCTTCTCAAAAATAAAATAGCCGCCCCCACCAGAGGGAGGCTCTCAGCAGCATTCACAGCGGCTGCAGCAGGAGCTGTGCCTTCCATTAATGTTAAAGACATGCAGCATGAAGGAAAAGGACTCTCTACCCGCGCCCTTTAGTACACAGCAGGGAGAGAGATTTTTTTTAAGGGAGAGAAGCAATAAGGCTGAGCATGAGATGGCAGAGAACCAGGGTTCTGGGGGCCTAAAAAGTCTTTTGGAGCTGCTAGCTTGTCTTGCTTTTGCAGCTCTGAAGACTACACACAGTTTTGTGACGTGGGGGCAGCATTCCTTCTGGGATCAGGGGCGGTGTGGACACAGCAAGGGTTGTGGAGGGGACTTCTGAGGCTACACAAAGAAGCTGGGGCTCAACCCAACCCAGGAAGGACCTGGGAAGGCAGAGGACAGCGAAGAAGTGATCTCTCAGAGGCTGGACTGGAAAGCCGGCCCTGCTTTGGCCGTGAAAAGTCCTTCTCCCTCTGCATTGGAGGGTCTTTGCAGCCCTGGCCACTTGCTTCAGTTGCTTGGCTAGTTTATTTTTCAGTTTGCACCCGAACAAGGATCCAGTACAGGTGTAAGTTGGGGATCTGATCCACCTTGTCCATGGGGTTTGACATCACTTATTGGGAGTCAAAGCCCAGGACATTAGAGGGGAAGGAGGTCTGTGACTCTCGCCCCATTCTCGGAGGAAGGGCTCCCCTGGCCTCGCCTCCCGCACCACCATGGTCCCCTTTCTGGAAGGAGCAAGCCAGCAGCAAGCCAGCAGCAAGCGTCAAGCAGGTGCGCCCTGCTCCCGTCTCTCTCTGAAAACAAAAAGGCACTGAGGTCAGCCGGAGGCCGGCCCACAAGCTCGCGGAGCGCAGGGCCACGGGCTGGCCCGGGCTTCGGAACACAAAGGACTCCAAGTCGGCTGAGTTGGGAGGATCCCCGTCTGTATTCAAGGCAGCTCCTCTGGCAGCACCTGGAGACCCCAGAGTCCCGGTGGGAGGAAGGAGGCCATGCAGAAGGCCACGCGGGAAAGCAGGGCGGCCAGGCCCTCCCCTGCTGTCTGGCCGGGGGAAGGCTGAGGACAAGCTGGACACATTTCTCTGCAATGCTTTTTGGCTTCCTCTGACTGCCTGATTTCCGTACTCAGCAGGAGACATTAAAAATGGCAAATGGCTGGTTTCCCTTCGTGAAAACACGTGAGGATGATGGCAATATGAAACTCCAAGTTGTAACTTAAAAACAAACGCTTGTTGACAAAGAAGTGACGAGGCATCACACACGTGCAGATAAATATATGCCTTTGGGTTTACGTGTGTGCAGACTCTTGAGTGATGAGGGCCAAGGCAGGCTGTGGCTTCTCTGGAAATCTCTGAGCCAGCCTCAGCTTTGGTGCTCCCTACCTGAGCATCTGGGGCCAGTGGCTTTAGGACCTTCCCTTGAGCATGAACAACGGGCACCTTGGGACAGTGGGGGGCAATCCTCTTACGAGCATTATCCTGCTTTCGGGGGCTTAGCCCCGACCTGCTCAAGGAATATGCTACAATTTTTGACTCATAAATAAAGGTCTATGGGTGGCAAATAAGAGAGAAATTGAAGAAGAATAAAACCCAGAGAAAGAACATACAGCTCTAAAACCTTTCTTCTTTCCTTTGCCGGCCGGTGCGAACCATTCCAGTTTGGTGATGAGAGAGGCAGCTGGTTGGCTTACCAAGGGCTCGTGGATTGCTGACATCCAAGGCTCTTCTCTCCCCCCTCCCCGCCCCTGCCACCACCACCTCCCCTCCCCAGTCCTGCTCCTCGGAGGTGGTGTGTGGCAGGCGGGGGCCTGGCCCACGAGCACGCGTGTCCCTCAGAGGTTTCGTGCCACATCTGGAACTGCCGGCGGGGGAGGGGGGGCACAGATGCACCCGCCACAGGTGTCCTGAGAAAAAGTGTCTGTTGCAAAATAATAATTAATAATAAAAATAAATCCACGGGCACCAGAAGAGGAAGCAGGACCGGTTAGCCAGGTTTGCCCTGGGATTCTCTTAAGGCCTCCTCCAGTTTCTGCCTAAACTTGTCATATTTCTTCTGCACTTGTTGGATTTTGTCTTGCTCCTCCTTTTCCAGGATTGTTAGGAAGTTCTGGAGCTCGGGGATGGAGAAGGCGTCCCACTGCGAGGCACGAGGGAGATTGCGGGGGGAAAACGGAATAGGAGACAGGTCAGAAGCCGCCCGACCTGAGGGCCCCGCCCAACCCCCCCGCTGCCTCCATCTGCACACAGCTTACAGGGGGTTTGCTACTGAATAGCTGCAGTGGAGAAAGCTTGGGTTTCCCATGTCATACCGGCAACCATATTTCAAATCCTGACATCTCATGACCCAGAGGTACAAGTCCATGAGCGGTGTTTTATTTGGAGCATCAACCATCTTACATTTTCTCCATGGCAGCTGAGGCCTGAACAGTGATGCTGGGGCCGCCCAGGGCCCCTGCCGGCCTGTCTGGCTGTCTGCTTTGGGGGTGCTGAGCAACAGGCTCTCAGCGTGCAGACCCTCAAGAGGCAGGTGGAGGAGAGCTGGGCTTGGCCTCCGGAGACTGGGTTTCAGCCTGACTCCACCGCGTGACCTTGGGCACATCACTGCACCCTTCTGTCCTATGTGCTCATCTGCCACGGAATGAGGGTCCCTGCCTCCCTTGGCTGGCAGAGCAGCTAATGAGATCCCAGAACCTGTAAAGCTCTGGAGAAGCCAGCTGGCCCAGGCCTGCCCCAATGGGACCTGGCCTCTCTGGGCAGAAGGCAAGTCTGACTGCTCTCAGGCTGACCCAGGAGCAGAGCCCCCCCAGCCCTCACCACCCTACCCTGTGGAGCCAAGGATTTTGACTCCTAAGCTCTTTTGAGCACAGAAGAATATGAAGGTTTACCTAGTTTAATCCCCACACTGCCTAACTGAGAAGACTGAAGTCCACAGACGGGAGACGACGGACCTACGGGGACGGGGCTTGCGGCAGCAGAAAGGGAATTAGGGCCCGGTCTCTAAACTCCCAGGCCCACGAGCTCTGCGCTGGGCCCGCGGTGTCCAAACACTGTCAGCAGAGTACGTTTTTCAAACAAAGTCCTATGCACTTTAATGTGTAAATCAGACGGAAGCAGAGCTGCCTGATTGAAGCAGGGTGAAGGGACAGGGCCCTACCCTGCCTGGATCCCCCAGATCTCCACAGTGACCCCCGAGACTGCTCCCCCAAACCCTAGGCCTCCACTGACCGCAGCGTGACAAACAACTGCCCTCGGTCACTCCTCCATGCCTCCCAAGTATCCCAGGCCACGCAGAGCACCAGCCTGATTCCACCCGACTCCGTGCCACCAGACTGGACTCTGATGAACTCCCCTTTGAGGAAGGAGGCCAGCTTTTAAGAACCAGGAAGAGACAAATGGCTCAAAAATCTCCATATCCAGTGGAGGCCAGAGATGGAGCTGGTGGGGCCTCAGGCCAGCCTGGAGCAAAAACAGCTGGGGCCTGGACACAGGCATTTCTCAGTGCCCCTCCACCCTGGGTTTTCAGGGAAAAAAGCACACGAAATCCTTTCTTTCCACAGGCCGTGCCAGACACCGGCCCTGACTTGCGCCCCCAGGATGCTGACAATCCTGGCTTTAAGACGCGAAACCTCTGCGGCCCAGCACTTCCCCGGGCCTCAACTTTCCCAGGCCATTTTCCCAGCTGCCTTGGCTACTGCCGCGTGGCCCCCGCCTATGCTGGCAGTGAGGACAATGCCCACCTGCACCCAGCCAGGGTGCCCTGAGGGCTGGGTTCGGGCACCGAGCAAAGGGGCCCAGACCTACCTCCACCTCTCCGGTTTCATTCTCCTTGAGCACGAAGCTGAGGACGTCATTGTCAGGCCCGGCGAGCAAGCGCAGGTAGAGAGGGCAATCAGCAATAGAGAGTTTCTGGAAGAACACTGCAAACCAAGAGAGGGGGCTGGAGGCGCATCTCAGAAAAGAGGGGCAGGGATGGAAATGCAGACAAGGGGTGGCCATAACGGGAAGGAGCCATCCTTTCAGCCTAATGAAATGAATCTAATGACATGAATAGGGCATGATGACCTTTTATCTTCGGTGTCTGCCCAGAGTTTGACACATGTTTCCATTCACATCACCCTCCCCAAAAGATTAGGAATGGTGGGTGGTTTCTCTCCCATGCCACAGATTAGGAAGTAGGAGCCCACATTGTGGTTTCCTGCAGTCACATATAAAGTGGGGGGCGCGGGGAGCAGGCATGAGCTTACCATCCAGCTCTCTGCCACGTGGCTGGGCGGCGGCGCCCTGGGGAAGCCCAGCCCTCCCCTCCCAAGTCTGGCAGGGGTTTAGCGGGAGAGGTGGTCTCTGACGGGGAGCTTGCCCTCGCATACCTTGCCCGTCCTTGTGTATCCGCTTAAAAAGTGCAAACTTCTGGGGATTGTCCACAACCATGAACTTCTTGAGCAGCCCCTGGATGACCTCGCTGACCGTGGTGGTGCTGCTGATGTGTAGCTGCTTGATGGCATCGAGGGGCAGGTAGAAGGATGTCCGCTTGTCGGTGGTGGCCGCCAGGTTCACTTCCTTGATGGCATCATAGATGGACTGGGGCCGGATCCCAGCAGGCACCGTCACCGGCCGCCGGAGCTTCAAATGCACTTTGATGAAACCCGTGTAGGTACCATCTTCATTCTGCGGAGGGGACGCCATATGGGTCCGCTCACGTCTATCTTGCATGATCCCATCTGCCACTCTGAGTCACTGCACCAGGTTGGGGGGGGGGGGCGTGCAGAGGCCTTTCCAAATAGTGCCATCCCAGGCAGGCCCTCCCCTCCCGCCCCGAGTTCCTTCCTGTGTCTGCAGACCTGCAGGTGCCAGAGGGCAGAGATGATGTCCCCCTGCCCGCCCCGCATTGGGCCAGGAGAAGGCTTGCAGTATCCAGCAACCCGAGAGGACAAGAGGAGCTGCTCTGGCTTTCCCTCCCAGGGCTCAGGCTTCCTGCCCCAGTCCCCTGCCTTTGCTGAGTCCCCGCTCCTAGGAGGCAGGGTCTGGAGTGGCCTCTCTAGTTTGTCCCTCCAAACCAGGGAGGAGCAGGAAGGCTCTGTAATGAGGTCCTCGCAAAACCAGCCCACTGCATTTCCTCCTGCATTTCTTTCCAAAACGGGGCAGCCTGCAAGACTTAAGCCCAGGACCGTGGGAGACTGGATTTTCTAGCGCTCCATCTGGCTGAAGCCCCAGAGCCAGCAGCCACCAGCAGGGGGCAGGGTTCTTCTACCTTCGCCCCTTCCCCCTGCAGATGGCCTTTGCGAGCCTCCCCTCGGAGCTCTGCAGTCTCGGGAAGCTTCCCCAGACGCAGGCGGTAGAAGTGCACCAACCAAGAGGGAGAGGACAGGAGCTGCGAACTCCCCTCGTGAGGCCTTCCTGGGGGCCAAGCAATACCAGTTCTTGAGGTCTTTGTACGGTACTTAATTCCCACAAGAGCTCCGACAAATGGGCACTGGTATCTCTATTTTAGCCGAAGCTCGAAGGTTTCCCAAAGCGAAAAAGGGGACGAGCCAGCGACTGACCTGGATCTTACTCTAAAGCCCATTCTGTTTCCCCGCAGCCCGCGGGGGGTCCCTGACGGCCTCGCACAAGCCCCGAGGCTTCCCGAGGCCTGAAGAAAGGGGAGGGGCCTCCGAGGGGCCTCCCCGGAATCCAGAGGGAGAGCACAGGAGCCCCCAGTGGAAGGGGCGGCGGCCGGGGG